GTCTAGGTCCCTCCCCTTTAGCCAGGCCAAGGGGATTTCCAAATCGCCTTGAAAGCCAAGACGAGCTTTAAAGGTGGCGAGGCAAAGACACTGACCGGCACCGGGGCCTTGCGTGTCACCTGCAGGTCGCCAACGCTCAGCCACAGCCCGCCAGAGAGACTCTGCAGAGCCAGACTTTCCGTCAGCTGGCCGGGCGCAACCCGGCTGGCAGCCCCGCTTAGCAACTGATCCTGCTTGACGGGGTCACATCCTACTCATGGGGATCCTGATCCTGATTGCTCCCTTTGAGGGTCTGGCCCAGGGAGAGCTGCCAAGAGCCACCCCCTCAGCTGGAGCCTACCCCTGCTGAGGATCGAGCCCGCGCTACGTAGCCCTGCGTCTCCACCCTTGGCGAGGACAGGCCCGGGGCAGCGCGAATCCGGGGGGACGTCACCGACGGACAGACGGGGGGAGAAGTCTGCGTAACGGGACCCTGATTCCCAGCTGGGAGAAGTTCGCGTCGATCCATCAGGGTCCGTGATGCTGATCTCCACCCCGGCGAGTGGGCCCCGCATGAATCCCCCAGTCCCTGCGCTGCTCTGTGTGCCGGGAATGTATGTAAGTGTGTGCGCCTATTTATTTTACAATGACTATTCCCTGATATTCAGGGAGCCGCTGTTTCGAATGGTTATTTATCCATTACCCCAGGGCCACTGGGCATGTGCGGGGGCGGGAGGAGGCAGAATTTGGGGTTTGGTTTTTTTATGTTTCGATGGATAATAGTGATTGAAATTGGCACCGTTATGGGTCACTTCTGCCCTTCCTCTTCTGACCAGTCTGGATTTTCTTGGCTGGGGGAGGCATTCGGGGGGGAGGGGAGACAGATAATTATTTAATGAAGGCAGAGGTGGGGAAGCCAGCCCTTCCGGCTTGTAACCTGTTCAAACACCAATTGTTAAACATGGTGTGTCAAAGTGTACAAAGTAAATGGCCATAAACCCAACCCCCGCGCGTTCTCCCGCAGCGTTTTTTCTTACTTTGCCTATCTGTACATTTCTGTTACTGCCCCGTGTCAGTGTGTGGGCGTGTCGGGTGAAATTGACATTGACTGACCCCACTAGAATTCTAACCCTGTAAGCCTAGTCCACGGGAGGCTAGGACAGTGGTTCTCAAATGTTGTGGCCCGTGGCCCAGCCCACTCAACGCAGGCCTTTCCGCGGACCACCAGCCAACCACCCATGCTGACAAAAGGGGTGCAGGAGGGACTGCGGGTGCGAGGTCTGGGTGGGAGTGAGGTCTGGGCGGGAGGGGTGTGTGTGACGAGGAGGGGGGCGCTGACCTGGCTCTCAGCGAGCCCCCCACCGCTCCCAGGCACTTCCCTCTGCTGCTCCCATTGGCCAATGGGAGCAGCAGGGAAACCAGACAAGCAGTTTTCCACACTGCCATTCCTCCAGCCGCCAGGGAAAGGGGCAGCTCCCCCTGGAAGCGGGATCTGGCCCATGGGACTTGGCACTTTCTTTGCGGGGTGGGGGGAGGTCTGGAGCACCAGTGTAGGCTCCCTGCTGGGAGAAGGGGAGCCCCAGACCCATGATCATACAGTGCAGCCCCATTCCCTTCCTGGGCTCTGAGCACTCTGAGGAGGAGCCAGCACTGACAGATGGGAGGGGATGGAGAGAGGGCTGAGAGATGAGCGGTGGGATTCTGGGCTAATAGGCTGCAATGCCTGGGTCTGGGGGGAAGCCCGGTCTTAATACGCGCCAGGGCTGAGAGCGGGGGCCGGTGGGTTGCAGTGAGAGCGAACGTTGGATACAAACTTGGTGTCCGCGTCCGCGTCTGCAAAATGAGCCATGGGCATAAAGCAGACACCCCGCAAATGTGCCAAGATCCTCCCCTCCCTCCCGGCGCTGGAAGGCTGTGAACAGCTGATGCGCCGTGTTCCAGTCGTGGACAGGAGGGGGTACAGAGTGCACATCGGGTGCTCCGAAAGTGCTGGGCGGGAGGGGGAGGAGCAGGAAGTGGGGGGCTCCAGTGCCCCGGTGAGGGAGAGGCGCGTGGGGGAGAGGGCAGGTGTAAATCAGCTGGAGTAAATCAATGTTGCGCCCTTGACTGCGCCCATTTCCACCGTGAGCCGGAGTCAGATCGGACACTGGGTCCCTGAGGATAACCTGCCCTTTCACTGACCCCAGTCTGAGGTGACATCTCTGAAGTCGACGGTTACTGACCCACACCAGCAAAACCGAGGTGCCCCTGGGATTCGTGGGAGAACAGAATTTGCCCTGCGGCACAGATGGCTCTTTCCCCCGGCTCTGCAGAGCGGCCCCCTCTGGGGTGGGGCCCACGGCAGCATCCAGCAATGCTCCAGGGCAGGAAAGTCCAAGTGAGGGGGGCGCTTCGAACGAGGCCGAGTGGAAATACCTGGGGTGGCTTTCGGCCAGGGAGCGGAGAGTCGGCGCCCCCACAACCGCACCGTAGGAAGTTTTACTGAGCACAAGTGGTCGGGGGCTGGGATTTACACCTCCTCCAAAACGCCGCTTCTCTTGCCACCACGCCGGGGCCCTGGGTTCTGTGCTGAGTCAGGGGAAACCACCCACCCCAGGTCTCTGCGGTGGGCTCCATCCGAGCATGCATAAGACAGAAGCCTGCTTAGTTCACGGGAACCTCAGCTCTCTGGGGACCACTCTAAAGCGTCTCAGCCAGGACCAGGCCTCTGGGCAAATGAGGGAAGGCTGAAGGAATTGGGTTTGTTTAGTTGAGAAAAGAGAAGACTGAGGGGGGACATGAGAGCTGTTTTCAGGTATCTAAAAAGGTGTCATAAGGAAACAGAAAACTTGTTCAATTTGGCCTCTGGGGATAGAACAAGAAGCAATGGGCTTAAACTGCAGCAAGGGAGGTTTAGGTTGGACATTAGGAAAAAGTTCCTAACTGTCAGGGGGGTTAAACACTGGAATAAATTGCCCAGGGAGGCTGTGGAATCCCCATCTCTGGAGATATTTAAGAGCAGGTTAGATAAATGTCTATCAGGGATGGTGTAGACGGAGCTTGGTCCTGCCTTGAGGGCGGGGGGCTGGACTCGATGACCCCTCGAGGTCCCTTCCAGTCCTAGGATTCTATGATTCTATGATTCAAACAGCTGAACTGGTGCAGAGCGAAAAAACGTAACGGTCCTTAGAGAGTAACAAAAAATGTGGCTGGTGTCATGAGCTTTTGTGGGCACAGCCCACTTCTTCCGACGACTGGAGTTAAGGAGTCCAGGTTCCAAATAAATAGCAGTGAGGTAGGGGGAGAGAAAGAAAGAAAAAGATGGGGAAAAAGAAGGAAAAAATTGTCAATTAGAGCAGCGTTTCTCAACCAGTGGTACGAGTACCTTTAGGGGGAGAGGGGCGGGGGGGGGGGGGGGCGGAAGCTGCATTTGTGTCGTAAGTTTCACAGAGCTTTATTATTTTTGTACTTTTGACACCCAAAAATGCCATCGCCCGCCCAGCTATGATTAAGTTGTTTAAACAAAAGCGTTACAATGGTAGAAAAAAATGGTGTGTCTGAAACTGTAGGTGCTGGGGGGTACTTATCATTTTTTAAAGGGTTTTTTTTTATAAAACAAAGGTTGAGAAATACGGAATTAGAGCATCCATGCTAAATGAAACTGATAGAGCGGATGCAAAGCTCTTAAGTACCCGGTGCTTGGCTTTCTATGTCAGTAGGATGTGGAAGGTAGCGGGCCATCCACCCAAGGTCTTTGTTTAGACCAGTGGTTCCCAAATTTTTTGGCATCACACCCCCCTTTTTGATTTTTGAGAAACCCTCCCCCTCCCCCAAAAAACAGCAGCAAAACTTGTTGAGCAAAAAAAAAAAAGTGCCCTGCCCTTTTAAAGTGGCTATTTTGAAATCTGCCCCAGCCAGCCTGAGCTGCATGTGGTCCAGCAGCCAAGCAGACAGACGGACTGGGCTGGACTCTTTCTTGACGGGGGGGAATTGATGGGGAGGGTCCTGGGTCGCCTCATGCCCCCCTGCAATAAGACAGCCACTTTGAGGTCTATAATGAGTGCTGGGGCAAGTTAAAATGTCCCCCAACAGGTTTTTTTCGACTGAAGACATCGGTTGTGCCCATGAAAGCTCATGATCCCAGCCATGTGTTTTGTCCGTCTCAGGTGCTGCAAGACTCTTCCTTGTTTTTTACGTTTTTCCAGTTACAGGCTCCCCCGGCTCCTCCTCTGTGTTGCCTTTTCGGATAGCTGATTTGCATCCATCCATCCTTTTTCCCAGAGACTGTCCCACCTAGCCAGTATCCATGGCAGTGGGACATCACTTGCATTTGATGGATCCCATTAGTGGACGGGCAGTTGTATGAGCCTCTGATGTGGTGGTTTATGGGGCCGGGTCTTGTGTTAATGTCGCTGGTGTAGCGGTGTGGGCAGAGGGTTGATTGCAGGGCGGGGGTGTTTCCTGGGTGAGTGTGATGGGGGGGTGCTGCGTGGTTGCTGGACTGAATTTGTCTGAGGTTGGG